CGCTCACTCTGCCCCCCTCCCGTTCACTGCCCTTTCCCCGAGACCCCCCCCCATCTGGCCCCTCCCCTCTCTCACTCCGTCCGCCCCACAGACAGCGAGCTTGGGCCTGGCGCGCCTGGGGCTCCCGCAGTACGCGGACCGACCTGCGGGTACCTACAGTGGAGGCAACAAGAGGAAGCTGGCGACAGCGGTGGCGCTGGTGGGGGACCCGGCTGTGGTCTTTTTGGTGCGTGGGGGCGGGGCCGGGGCGGGGCCTGGGGGGAGGGCTGGGGCTTGGCTTATGGCGTCTCCCCTTGCACCCCCAAGGACGAGCCGACCACTGGCATGGACCCCAGCTCCCGGCGCTTTCTCTGGAACAGCCTCCTGGCCGTCGTGCGGGAGGGCCGCTCCGTGGTGCTTACGTCACACAGGTGGGTCCCGCTCCGGGTGCTCAAGGCGGAGGGTCAAGGTGGTGCAGGCTCTGGGGAGGGAGGCGGACCCGGCCCCAGAGAGAGGCTGTCAGAGCACAGGGACACAGGAGATGGAGTGGCCCTGACCTTTGGGGGGGGGGGTGGACACGCCGACGACGGTGACACCCGACCCTTGGGACAGAATGGTCTGGGCTCCGTGCGAGTGTCTGGGCTTGGAGGGTGAGGGTCCCCGGCCTGGGGAGTGCAGGAGTTGATGGCGCTGGGCTCCTGACAGCATGGAGGAGTGTGAGGCCCTCTGCACGCGCCTGGCCATCATGGTGAACGGGCGGTTCCGCTGTCTGGGCAGCCCGCAGCACCTCAAGAGCAGGTGAGTGGGGCGCGAGCAGGCAGGTGAGGGCGGGGCCAGAAGAGCCACCAGACACAGGGCCACGCGAAGCCAACTTGGCTCTAACCTGAGGGGAGGCGAGGACCATGGACTGTGGAGGAGGCATGAAGTAGGGAGTGGGGCAGCCAGCACGGGTACGGGGCTGATGGGTGACGGTGGCTCTCGGGGGGCCGGAGATGGACCTGGGGGCGGGGCCTCGCGTGGGCGGGGCCTGGAGAGGCGGGGTGAGGGAAAGGGGTGAGCCTATAAAAGGGCGAGGCCGCGCAAGTCCGCGGGTCAGAAGGGGCCAGGTATTGGAGGCAGGCCCGGAAGCGAGCAGGGGGGTGGTGTGGACGGGTGGCAGGGCAGGGCGGGCCTTGAGCATGTCCAGCAGCCCCGGACCCGCCCATCCCAGATTTGGAGCCGGCCACACGCTGACCTTGCGGGTGCCCGCCGCGCGGTCCGAGTTGGCGCTGGCCTTCGTGGGGGCGGCGTTCCCGGGGGCCGAGCTGCGCGAGGCGCACGGCAGCCGCCTGCGCTTCCAGCTGCCGCCGGGAGGGCGCTGCGCCCTGTCCCGCGTCTTTGGAGAGCTGGCGGCGCACGGGGCGGAGCACGGCGTGGAGGACTTCTCCGTGAGCCAGACCACGTTAGAGGAGGTGACCGCGGCGCCTGGATGGAGCTGAGGATGAGGTGGGGCCGAGGGCCAGGCGCTGGGGCTGACCTCCCCTCCGGCCACCCACCCCTAGGTATTCTTGTACTTCTCCAAGGACCAGGGGAAGGAGATGGACGACGAGCAGGAGGCCGGAGTCGGGGCAGGCCCTGCGCCACGCCCACAGCACCCCAAACTCATCACCGGGGTCCTGGAGGACCCCAGCATGGCCGAGACGGTCCTCTGAGCCGCCCTCATCGGAGGGGTCGGTGGGAGATGCTGGGAGGGCAGGGGGGCAGGGCCGGGACCCAGGCTCTCCGAGGATCCGTTGCCCTGGAGGAAATAATAAAGAGAACTCGTGGCGTGAAACTGTGTCCATGCATGCGTGAGTGCCAAACACGGCTCTCCTCCCCCCCTCCCTGAGTGTGTGCACGTGAGAGTCTGGCCGGACCCCCAGCTCACATGAGGGCCTCTGTGCTGGGCTGGGCACTGGGGGGTCTCACATGCACTCGGGGACTTCCTAAGAGCCTGGACACCCACGTGGGTCTGGCCGCTCAGGGCGGTACCTATGAGTGCCTGGTCATGAAGTGGGCATGAGGTCAAGGCTTGGGAATGTTCTGGGCGGCTTGGAGGAGCCCAGGGGGAGTGGCACAGACCCCAGGCCTCCTGACCAGGCCAGAAGCCTGCCAGCCAGCCCTCACCCCCTGAAGCCTGGCTCCAGAGCAATGAGTGGTGGGCAAAGGATCCTCAAGGGACTTCTCAGCTGGGTCTGTGGATGGACCTGGGCCTGGAGAGCTGGCTGTGGCACCTGGGGCTGTGGTCTGCGGGCCCTGTACCCTGGAGATCCGCCCCTCCCAGCAGAGGTCAGTGGGGGGCAGTGTTAGGGAGGGTAAAGGGTCGGGGTTTGGGGATGGGGGTGGGACTCCAGAAGTAAGGAGAAGAATCGGGGAGAAGGGGCTCTGATGAAGAGAGGAGGTGGTTGTGGGAGGAGGGGAGGAGGCAGGGGTCCCTATGCACCATGGAGGCCCCAGCTCTTGCTGGTGAGTGGTGGCCGAAGGCATGACTCCCACCGTGCCTCCCACAGTCCTGCTGCCTGGCGTGCCTGGTGGTCCGTGTGTGTGTCCCTGGACTGTGGGCACAGGGCTGGGGGGCGGTGGCCTGCCGTGCCCTGTGCCATCAGCTCACCAGAGGAAGGGGGATGGGGGGGTGGGGGAGGCTGGATAGCAGGTGTCCATGCCCAGGGTCTGAGAGAGCAACTCTGGCTTGTCCGTTCCACGGGCGAGCTTCCTGCCATCTGTGCACCTGTCCGGGTCCCTGCATGTCATCCTGCACTCGGCGGCATCTGGGTGCATCCGACTGAGGGTCTGCACCCCTGCCGTCTGCCGCCGTGTGCCCCCGCCATGTGCCGGGGAGCCAGGGCCAGGGCACGCGCAGAGCTCCTGAGAGCCGAGCTGGGGGTGGGACCCGGGACCCCACCTTCAAGCCCGCTGTGTGGAGGGGCAGGCTGAGGCCCGGGAGGGTGGGGGGCAGGTCTGTGTCACCAGTCCCCGGCACTGCCTCCCTCCGGAGGCCTTTTCCTGTGGGGGGGGGAGGGCCCGCCAATGAGGGCCGGGCCCGTCACGTGGGCCTGACAGCTGGGGAGGGGGTGGCCAGCAACAATGTGGGCCTGAGGCAGCCACTATTGAGAGCTGCAGGCTTGAGACCCCCAGCCTGCCAGACCCCAGCCCGCCTATCTCGGGCCACTGGCCCCGGGCCCCACCATGTTCTCCAGGAAGAAGCGGGAGCTCATGAAAACCCCTTCCATCTCGAAAAAGAACCGGGCGGGAAGCCCCAGCCCACAGCCCGCGGGGGTGAGTGAGCCTCTCTGTGGAGTGAGTGCGGGCGGGGACCTTGGAGAAACACCCAGGTGGCAGGGGCGTAGGGGTGTGCCGTGAGCTGGGGGCCCAGGACCCAGCGGCTCGATGCTGGGCCGGCGGCGGGGGGCTCACACAAGCTACAGCCCCTACCGGGCTGGACGGCATGGGCCACGCAGGACAGGCTGGGACCCTGGCGTTCAGCTCATGGTAGGAGCCCTTGGGGCTGACCACCGCATCCCTCCCCGCTGACCAGGGCTGGCTTGTGGGGCTGAGGGAGGGGGTGGGAGGGTGCCAGGGTGGGGGCGGCCTTGGGTCTGGGACCACAGGGCGGTGGTCAGGGAATCTGGGGGCAGCGGTGCCGTCAGAGGTGAGAGCTATAGCTCGGCTACGTGGCCGAAGGTTTATAGGGCAGCAGGGCACGAAACAGGACCCTTGGGTGTAGGGCCTGGGGGGCATCTCTGGGGTCTGGAGGGCTACAAGGTTTGGGGCTATCTACAAGGCCTGGGGGTGTCTGTGGAACTTGGGGGTCTACAGGACTCTTAGGGGTACGGGAATCTACAGAAGTGTCTTCACCAGGGAGTAGGGGTGTCTGCAGCAGCCTGGAGGGGGCTACAAGGGCTGAGAACCCCCTCTGGCCCTCCCGACTCCACCAGGAAGTGGGGTGCCCCTCCCCCGCACCCTCACAGGCCCCACCCCTGGCTGTGGTTTGGGCAGAGACCGTTGTTTGTGAAAGCTCTGGGGAAGAGGATGTTGGGTAACAGGTGTGGGCGGGGCAGGGCACCAAATCTCGGCCCTCTGACCTCTGGACTTTGATCCCTGTGGGGTCAGGCCGAAGACCTTCCAGAGCCCCCACTTCATTTCTGGGGAAACTGAGGCCGTGCCTGGGCTGGAACACCGGGTCACCAGCTCGCCCCCCCACCCTCCCAGGAGCTGCCCAGGAAAGATGGGGCTGATGCGGTGTCCCTTGGACCCAGCCTGGAGCCACCAAGTGCAGCCTCCAATGCCAAGGCCATGGGCACCCTCAAACGGCCCACCAGCCTGAGCCGCCATGCCAGCGCGGCTGGCTTCCCGCTGTCCGGCGCCAGTTCCTGGACGCTGGGCCGGGGTCATCGCAGCCCGCTGACCACAGCCAGCCCGGCCGAGCTCCCCATCGAGGGGCCCTGCCCCGACACTGTGGAGGACATCTCCCAGCTGCTGACTGACGTGGGCCGCTTTGCCAAGGCGCTTGAGAAGCTCAAGGAGTGTGTCCTGAGCGACGGTGAGAAGCGGCAGGGACACTGAGGCCTGGGTGGCAGGCAGAGCCGACGCAGAGATCTCAGAGCCTGCGGGTTCAAGGCAGGGTGGGGGGAGGGAAGCAGGCAGGCTCAGGAGGCGATGCATGGCAGCCAGGGCTCTGAGGGATGAGTAGTTCGGAGGCCAGGAGCAGAGAAAGGCACTGAGGCGGAGGGAACATCACGTGTACAGGCTCAGAAGCATAAAATGGAGATGCATTTGGGGGAACAAGTTTTGGGGCGTCACTGGTGTAGGAAGTGCGTGAAGCTGAAGGCATCAGAACAGTGGGCTGAGGGAGCCCAGCTGTTCTCCTGAGGGCCATGGGTAGCCATAGAGAATGGTAGAGCAGAGGCAGGGCACGCTGGAGCCCCGGGGCCCGGCTGGAGAGGGATCCAGGAGGGACAAGGGGCAGGACCGGCACGTGAGCCACCGGCGTGAGTGGCCTGTTTGGGATGGCAGTTCCGTTTTCTCCTCCATGTGGCGCTGACAGCCCAGCTTCCTGCCGAGTTATTTTCATCTGCTTCCTGTTTGTCCCTGGCACCTCGTGCGCAGCCTGTGGCCGCTGCCCACTCCCCCCAGAAACCGCAGTGCCAGGACCATGCCTGGCGCTCTGACCTGCCCCCCCAGGCGCCTGCGCTACAGATCAGGAAACTGAGGCCCCTCGTGGGGCCCTGACCCCCGGCTCTCCCGGCCAAAGGGGAGCCTGAGCTGGGGTTTGACCTCAGCCTCCCAGAGGCCTCTCCAGAGGCCTGGCCCCTGCTGGGCGGGAGGTGGGAGCCCCCCAGGGTTATCTGGTCCGGGCGGGGGGCCAGAGCGGCTTCCTGGGGAAACTGTCTAATCTCAGTTCCTTTCCGATCCCTGCACTTCCTTGGAGGCCAGGCCTGGGCGGGGCCGAGCCCAAGGGCGTCCTGTGGGAGGCTGGGACAGGGCAGGGGCACCCGTGTACCCGCTTTGGGCCACCTGGAAGAGAGGATGTGGGTTAAGTCCTGCGCTTCCTCTGCTGGGCCTCCTCCCCTGAGCCTCAGGTGTCTCATTTGTGACATGGGGCCGTCATGGGGCCTGCAGGATAGCCGACTGTAGCTGGCGTTCTCGGCACTGTGACGGGGGCGAGAACAGTGAGCGCCAAGGTGGGGGACAGTGCAGGGCCCCCCCGCCCCGCTGGGAGCACCTGGGCTGCGCGGGGCAGGTGGGCGCAGAAGGAAGGTCCCAGGAAGGGGCGTGGCCCAGCCTGCCCCTGGATTGTGTGGGAGCCCGAGGTGCTGGGACCGAGCTCTCCCGGTGCGGACCCTCAGCGGGGGTCCTCAATGCTGAGACGGGACACGGGGCACGGAGTCCGAGGGCGCACAGGTGTCAAGGCTGTCCTCCCAGCTGGCCGTCAGCCCCGCCCCCCGCCCCGGGTCCCTCTCTGCAGTTGACACAACCTTGAGCAGCCCTGAGAGGTTGTGGCAGGAAAGGGGCCTGGGGGGCTGCATGGAGGAGGAGGGCACCAGGACTGCAACTTGAAGGACAAGCAGGAGTTTGCTCTCCGGAAGGACATGAAGAGTGTCCTGAGCTGAAGGGACTGCCTGAACCATGGTCTGGCCTTTGTGGACCTGGCCAGCCGCCCAGAGAGGCCGGTGCCTCCCCTGGGGTCCCACCTCTGCCTCAGTCTCCCCTCTGGGGTCAGGAGCTCAGAGGGGGAGGCAAGCAGGCTTTCCCTGGGGCCGGGGGCTTCCTCCCTGCTCACACCACTCTGCCCAGCAGACCTCCTCGAGGCCCGCCGGCCACTGGCCCACGAGTACCTGGGTGAGGCCCTTCGTATGATGCGTCAGATCATCTCCAAGTACCCGCTGCTGAACACCGTGGAGTCACTCACTGCTGCTGGCACCCTCATTGCCAAGATCAGAGGTCAGCCGGCCCCGGGCACGGCAGTCAGGGCCCCGGGGGCCCCGGGAGGGCTTCCTGGAGGAAGGGACGTCTGAAGCGTGTTTTGAAGGGTGCCTAGCAATTTGACAGACCCAACTGCTCTCGTGCTGCTCCTGGGCTAAGGGCTCCCTTCAGTTAGCTGCAGGCAGGGGTGGTCGCGTCCCGGCGTGGGCCAAGCACCCTCGTCCTTGTCTCTGCCCACCAGCCTTCCATTATGAGTGCAACAAAGAGTCTGACAAGCAGGAGTTTGAGAAGGCCCTGGAGACCATCGCTCTCTCCTTCAGTAACACGTGAGCACCGCGGGGCCTGCGGAGTGGGGCTGGGGGTGTGGGGCCC